CCACTCCGCTCCTCGTACCCTTCACCTGTCACGTCATCAGGTATCAGAATCCCACGTGGGCGCGCTTCGAGCTCGGCTTGGCCCCTGTTTTCTGGGAAACCGCCACTGGCCTTCCCCCTGCCTCCGTACGTCCATCGTCTCTTTCATCCGCCCTCTCAATGCTGCTGCCGTTTGTCTTTATCCTTTCCCGTTCCGGAGTCTGCCACGTGAGGCGACTCAGCAGTCCCCCGCATGTCCAATTCCTCACATTGTCCTGCCATTCCCTCACCCTTCGTCTTCCACTCCCCGTCCCCTTCTCCCTCCTCATCAGCCCTTCTGAGGCTTCCACCCTCACACCACACCATCTGAGACGACTCACAAGTCCCTCTATCCCCACGCTTCTCTCTTCCCTTTCCGCGCCTCTCCCCACGCGCATGTCTCCCGTGTCACACAGGGCGAGCTGATGACCATTTGGTTCAACCCCGAGGCATCCACCCTCACACCCAACCCTGAATTCGGCGTCGCTTTCAACGGTACGCCGCTGCTTCTCTCTTTGCCGCTGCTCGACACTCTCTCGCGCCCCTGCCCCGTTCGCGATACATTCCGGCTGTTCCCTGTCATGGCCCTGTTGCGCGCCACATCTATCAAGCCATGCGTCTTACTGTCCAACTTTCCGGTCTTTCCTCCCTCTCCCAGGCGGATTCAACAGCTCCATCATGTGCGGCAGCGAGGCGAGGAGTAAGAGCCGCAAGGAGCGCAGGCCGAGCTGTCTTTTGGATCGACTCAAAAGCCCACTGGTTCTCTTTGTCCTTTCCCCCTCCCCTTTACCTCCCAGGCGGCTTCAACAGCCCCATCATGTGCGGCGGGGAGGCGCGGCGGATGAGTCGGAAGGACCGCGGGCCGAGCTGTGCGCCGCTGTTCTCGATCAAGGTGAACGTGCCGCTGCACGCCAAGACCATCGAGTTCTCCATGACTGATGGCGAGGCCTGGGACGGGCCTTACGTCGTGGAGATGCAGATTCCTGCTGCCTTCCGCAACCAGCCCATGTCGTTCTTTAATGAGGTGAGGCCCATTCGGAGGTGAAGGTGCTGCTGCACGCCAAGACCATTGAGTTCTCCATGACCGACGGCGAGGCCTGGGATGGCCCGTATGTGGTGGAGATGCAGATTCCGGCCGCCTTCCGCAACCAGCCCATGTCATTCTTCAATGAGGTGAGGCATGGTTCGAGTCTCAATCGGGGGTAACCTTTGAGTATTCTCCAAAGGTGTGGGGTGGCCCGTACCCCGTGGAGATGCAGATCCCGGCCGCCTTCCGCAACCAGCCCATGTCATTCTTCAACGAGGCGAGGCTCAGGTGGACGGAAGCGCAGTCAGAGGCACAGGTGGAGGTACCTTTATGAAAATTCCCAAAGGCCTGGTATGGCCCGTACGTGGTGAGGAGCCGTCGGTTAGCATTGTCTGCTCAACCCACACCCATGTGCATACGCAGACACTCATACACTCACACACTGACGTTTCCCACACCCCCACCCGTCCCTCACTCCCCTGTCCCCACGCCAGGGTCTGAAGAAGACTCTGGAGGCCGAGGGAGCGTGTGATGACACCATCTTCCCCGACTCTCAATACGTGCCCGACCGATGCATCATGCCGGGCGGTATCGCCAAGGAAGAGGTAAGCTGGGCCTTCACATGTCTTCTGTGCGCTCCTTTTCTGCTGCTTCAAAAATGCCTTCATTACTGGCTTATTGGGTTCCTTGAATCGTATTTGACCTTTCATATGCTCATGACTCTTGCCCGTTTTTCCACCTTCAGGGCCAGTCGTGCCGGCTTGACCTTGTGCCAGGCTGCATGGATCCCAGCTCGCCATTCTTCGACCCGCTTGCCAATGTGGACGATGGCTCTTGCCCCATTGACGTGCCGCAAAAGTAGATGGGTTGGTCACATGGCATAGTGGTGAAGCAGAGGAGATGCAGGCTTTGGTTTGAGTTATAATTTTAGCAACAGGTTATGCAAGTGATATAGTGTTGTAGCATCAGCATGATGTCCATATCTGTGAATACATGCTAGAAGGCTACTGCTGATTGTTAGGGATTGGCTACTGAGCACGGTGGTATCAGGGCTCTCGCTAGGATTTGGGCCTGTCTGAGGGATATTGCTGCCATGGTTGAAGCAAATGCTTCAAGAGCTTTGGAGGAACTGTCATAAGTATGTAAGGTTTTATGTACGCTGGTATTGAAGACGCATCCATATTTCGAACCAGACGTAAAACGGGCACCGATCAACCAAGAAGCATGAAGCGGAACTGGACAGTGAGCTTTGTGTATGCGAAACGTCTTGACATGCCTCCACGTCCCTCACTCCCTTCCCTTCGTCATTTTTGAACGCCTGGATCGTCGTTCGAAAATTTCTCAAATGTACATTGATGCGGCCTGATGCGGCCTGATGCGGCATGATGCGCCTGCAGGACAAGGCTGCTGAATTCCTCCGAATATATCTCAGCGGACAAGTGAGTCCCGGGGAGCTCGCTGCCCCGAACAACCTATTTTCAGTTCAGGGAGGTTAAATTTTATTGTAACTGGACGCCTACCTTCCTGAGGGTTGCCATGGTTCCCATCCCATCACTCCCGTCCCGTCAATCCGGCTCTTTTGCGAGATACCTCTACTGAATCCTTCGTCTGCTGTAGCTGAACGGAGTAACCGTGACTCTCAGATCATTCCTTCATGCCGTCAATCTGTCCCTGCCTATTCGTGAAGTAGCTTTATTATGACGCTGCGTTCGCCATTTCAACTTGTTTCCGATCTTCGTGTTATTCTAGTAGTAGGAACTTCAAACCGAAGACATGACCTGGCAGTTGAGTACATCCGTCAATTTATTTTCTACAGCACCCACCTCTCAGCACCGTCAACGATGATACTAAGAACGGCCGTTTTTGTTATTACGAGCACGCTTCAGAGGCTGCAGACGCCGTGATGGCACCGCGACGGCGATCCAAGTGGCCATAATCGGAGGCTGCAGACGCCGTAATGTCACCGCGACGTTTGCTGTACTCAAAGCTCCACTATTTGTGAAGGCGACGGCGTGCAAGGCGTCTGGGGAGACGACAATTGATTGAGCAGCATACCGGAAGACGTGCGCTGTTTACGTTACCTGATCAGCTGTTCACAATACTTAATCAGCTGTTCACATTACCTGATCAGCTGTTCACATGAGCTTCATGTCATGGTCTCGGCGGCGACCACCAAGTCTCATGTCGACTCGTCGTTCGAGCAGTATCTGGGCGTCTGCGTCACGACGCAGCGTCACGGCGTCACAGCGTGATGGCGTCACAGCGTGATGGCGCCGCAGCATCATGGCGTCGCAGCATCATGGCGTCGCAGCATCATGGCAGCATCATGGCTTCGATCATATGGCGTAGCGCGGTGGGCAGCGAGCATCGAGCAGCGAGCCGCGAGCGATGTCGACGAGCGACGAGCGACTTCGGCAGCCAAGTAAGACGACTACAGCTGGCAACGCGAGCTATGGCGACAGTGTCGAGCGACGACGAGCGACGCGCGACACGCGACGAAGTACGCAAGTCGCGGACGAGCGACAGCGACGGTCGACCCGCGAGGTTCATTGAAGGGCATTGGAATGATGTTCCAGTCCAACAGCATCAACCCCGCTGTCATCTGCTCATGGCAACCCTTGTCACTAAAGTTTGTTTTTTCTTCCTAATCACTCTCCTTCTGATCACTCACTTTTTCCGTTGGCAACCCACGTGTCATTAAAGTGGAGTGTTCACGAACGCATGGCAGAGTAGAGGCGCATGAGGCGGGCAGCCCATGGCAGGGCGGCAGGGGAGCTCATTCTAGAGTCTAGCGGGTTAGCTTGCATTCATCCCATGCCCGCGTCCCTCTCTAACCCAGTCCCCCCCTTGCCTTTGCTCAGCTCACTGCCGCATTGTCATGGGCTGCTCTCTGCCCTGCAGTTCCCGAATCCTCCCATCACTCGCTACCTCCATTATGCTCAGCTGCTTTGCCCTCGTACTCTTGAAGTTTCCTTTCATTGATTGCAGTTTTCTCTAGGTCAACTCCCTTCATTTGCATTTCATTTTCCTTCGTTTTCTTTCAATTTCCTTCTTTTTCTTTCAGTCTCCTTGTGCTTTCTTTTTCGTTCCATTGCCTTCGATTCCCTTCAGTTGCTTTCCTTCCATTCCGCGGTGCCCTCTTGTCCTTCAACTCTATTATCCCTTTCCTGTGTTCCAGGACAATGGAGAAATGCGGTTGACTATATCAGCAGTTTCAGAAGCAGCAGCAGCAGCAGCAGAAAACACCATCACCACCACCCCACCACGAATGCCAGTGTGTAACCAGCTTTCTACTCTTCAGTCTCTGCTCTGGTAAGTCACATGTTGACCAGTTTCTATGCACCACTGCTTCTGGCTTTTGTGTGACTGCTACCTCCTCGTTCTATTCCCTCCCTCCTGCTCCCCCTCATGTTCTCCCTCCTCTCTCACTCTCTCCTATAGTACTCGTACCCTCACCTGTTTTTCCCGGCCTTAATGTAGTGCCGTTTTGATCATTTCAACGGGGATGTAGCTCAGATGGTAGAGCGCTCGCTTAGCATGCGAGAGGTACGGGGATCGATACCCCGCATCTCCAGGGTTTGCGGGGATAGCTCAGTTGGGAGAGCGTCAGACTGAAGATCTGAAGGTCGCGTGTTCGATCCACGCTCACCGCATTCAGCTTTTGTGGCCCATTTTTCTCACTCCCCTCACAGTGACTTCTCCTTTTTGCACACTTCACCCACACAAGCTTGTGCTTCTTTCAGCTCGCTTCACTGACATACCCTTGTGCCTCTTTCAAGCTTCACCCACTGGCCCTTGTGCTGATTTTTGCTCACTTCACCCGCTCACCCTTGAGCATTTTCTTGCTTGCTTGACTCATGCTGCCCAACAAGTGTGCCTCCCTGCATGTGAGCAGCGCAAAGCAGTGGATTTTGCTGCTGCTTATTAAGCTGCCATGGCGTTGGTTCTGCCATGGCATGGCATTGGTGCTGCCATGGCATTGGTGCTGCCATGGCATTGTTGCTGCCGTGGGCATTGGTGCTGCCATGGCATTGGTGCTGCCGTAGGCATTGGTGCTGCCATGGCATTGGTCGCTGCCGTGGCATTGGTGCTGCCGTGGCATTGGTGCTGCCATGGCATTGGTGCTGCCATGGCATTGGTGCTGCCATGGCATTGGTGCTGCCATGGCATTGGTGCTGCCATGGCATTGGTGCTGCCATGGCATTGGGTGCTGCTGCCATGGCATTGGTGCTGCCATGGCATTGGTGCTGCCATGGCATTGGTGCTGCCATGGCATTGGTGCTGCCATGGCATTGGTGCTGCCATGGCATTGGTGCTGCCATGGCATTGGTGCTGCCATGGCATTGGTGCTGCCATGGCATTGGTGCTGCCATGGCATTGGTGCTGCCATGGCATTGGTGCTGCCATGGCATTGGTGCTGCCATGGCATTGGTGCTGCCATGGCATTGGTGCTGCCATGGCATTGGTGCTGCCATGGCATTGGTGCTGCCATGGCATTGGTGCTGCCATGGCATTGGTGCTGCCATGGCATTGGTGCTGCCATGGCATTGGTGCTGCCATGGCATTGGTGCTGCCATGGCATTGGTGCTGCCATGGCATTGGTGCTGCCATGGCATTGGTGCTGCCATGGCATTGGTGCTGCCATGGCATTGGTGCTGCCATGGCATTGGTGCTGCCATGGCATTGGTGCTGCCATGGCATTGGTGCTGCCATGGCATTGGTGCTGCCATGGCATTGGTGCTGCCATGGCATTGGTGCTGCCATGGCATTGGTGCTGCCATGGCATTGGTGCTGCCATGGCATTGGTGCTGCCATGGCATTGGTGCTGCCATGGCATTGGTGCTGCCATGGCATTGGTGCTGCCATGGCATTGGTGTTGCCATGGCATTGGTGCTGCCATGGCATTGGTGCTGCCATGACTGTTATGCCTACTAGGCTAAATTGGATGGGCAGGGGTCAATAAGCGCTACCAGTTTAAACAACACACACACAGTACACATCCATGTGCACAATATGCACTTGTATGTATGCTGGCCAGCCTGCATGGCCTGCATGGCCTGCATGGCCTGCATGGCCTGCATGGCCTGCATGGACTGCATGGCCTGCATGGCCTGCATGGACTGCATGGCCTGCATGGCCTGCGATGGTGTATGTGGGGAGTCGAGACTGATACCTGCACATGGGAGTTGGTGCACTCGGCCAGATTCCTATGTGATTTCATGAGAATGGTGAGGTGAGCTGATGAGAAGGGCCGTTTCATGATAAGGGTGAGTTCATGAAAAAGGGCGATTTCATGATAAGGGCGCGTGTGGTCTTTGAAATTTGTAAAAGTTTATGTTTTAAGGGCGAATTTTATTTTTGAACTTACAACGAAAGAAGTTCGAATTTCCTTCTATCGAAGTTCGAACATCGGGCTTACCACACTGTAAAAAATCACACACACATACAAGTTCGAACCCCGACATTCGAACTTGTAAAAACGAGCCGAGCCGCACGTCAACATCATAGGTTACCCGGTTCGCTCGTCTTGACAGTGCGCCACGTCAACATTTTGCGCCTCGGTTTACAAGGACCTAGAGCTCCAACCCACCTTCCGCGCCGAGTTTGTAACCAGGGTACAAATAGCCCCCGTGGCAACACCAAGGGCGGGAGTTTCTTTGACTGACGTCAAGACGGGCGGGACGCGTTGCCACATCGTGCTCGAACGTGCCACGATGCTGGACACGTGGTTACCACTGTGTGCACGAATTGTGGGGTGTCTTCGTTGTGCAACTTCATGCACTGGCGAAGCGCTCGCCCGTTTCGCCAGCTGTTTGGACGTGCTGCAAATCACACACGCTCGCATGAACGTGCGCACGCACGTTCCCGCCTCCGACTGGAGTCAAGTTCATATTTCAAACTCGAACTTTTGCAGAGCCCATACAATGCTTGGTTCGCGAAGCACCCTTCGCGAAATCAGCGAATAGGGTAACCACCCAAAGTTCGAACTTTATTTTGAACTTCTAAACAGACCACACGCGCCCTAAGGGTGAGATCATGAAAAAGGGCGATTTCATGTTAAGGGTGAGTTCATGAGATAGCAGTGAGGTGAAATGATCAGTCGCTATCACCCTCTGGCTGTCTGAGAGAAGTATCAACCACCGCTGAGCATCAATCACCCCTTCCTCACACCCTCCTTCCTGTTCATCACCTTGTGCACATTCTGGCTCCCATCACACATGTTCGGACAGGAGCACAGGGCATGTGTGAGCAGAGGGCATGTGTGAGCAGAGGGCATGTGTGAGCAGAGGGCATGTGTGAGCAGAGGGCATGTGTGAGCACAAGGCATGTGTGAGCACAAGGCATGTATGAGCACAAGGCATGTGTGAGGATGCAGCAGCACTAACGTTCGTTCTCTCGTCTGTCGCACATCCCTCTGTGCATGTGCAGGTAGGCAATTTTCAAATTTCAGACGGTTGCACGGCCCATAGGGGCACTGTAGGCGATCAGCAGTACATCTTGATTCTGCGTTCCTGATTCGAGATACCAGTACGTGATGTGACACTACAAATTATGCCCAGTTTGTGGTGTGGTGCTTACGGTGTGCTCTCTTGCTGTCCTGTGCTGTGCAGGCCCTAAAGTAGCATCAAGTCTATGCGGCAATGAGAATGACTTATGCCATGTTGACGTCTAGCAGCATGTTTGAGCACACTGTTCAATCTTTTCTAGCAATAATCTGGTAGCACAGCGCGTGCATTACCAACGTTGACATGACAGTTCAGGGCATCGTTCCTAGGTCACTTGAAGATTGTGCGATCAGTGTGGTTATTCTGCAACCACAGTGAGCGCCAGGCCACCAAGACATGCCATTGTTGCATTTAATTTCCAGTGTGTGCAGTAAGCAACATCCATTCTCATTCTACGAGTCATCACAAAGCCTCGGCTCAGCAACTGTCACTTCAGCTGTCTATGTGGCTCTGTTTGTGCGCTTCTTTCTAATTTCTGTCTGTATGGTTTCGTCTCTGGTTCTGTCTGTATGGTTTCGTCTCTGGTTCTGTCTGTATGGTTTCGTCTCTGGTTCTGTCTGTATGGTTTCGTCTCTGGTTCTGTCTGTATGGTTTCGTCTCTGGTTCTGTCTGTATGGTTTCGTCTCTGGTTCTGTCTGTATGGTTTCGTCTCTGGTTCTGTCTGTATGGTTTCGTCTCTGGTTCTGTCTGTATGGTTTCGTCTCTGGTTCTGTCTGTATGGTTTCGTCTCTGGTTCTGTCTGTATGGTTTCGTCTCTGGTTCTGTCTGTATGGTTTCGTCTCTGGTTCTGTCTGTATGGTTTCGTCTCTGGTTCTGTCTGTATGGTTTCGTCTCTGGTTCTGTCTGTATGGTTTCGTCTCTGGTTCTGTCTGTATGGTTTCGTCTCTGGTTCTGTCTGTATGGTTTCGTCTCTGGTTCTGTCTGTATGGTTTCGTCTCTGGTTCTGTCTGTATGGTTTCGTCTCTGGTTCTGTCTGCATGGTTTCGTCTCTGGTTCTGTCTGTATGGTTTCGTCTCTGGTTCTGTCTGTATGGTTTCGTCTCTGGTTCTGTCTGTATGGTTTCGTCTCTGGTTCTGTCTGTGTGCTTCTGTCTCTGGTTTGTCTGTGTGCTTCTGTCTCTGGTTTTGTCTGTCTGCTTCTGTCTCTGGTTCTGTCTGTGTGCTTCCGTTTCTGGTTCGGTCTGTGTCTCTGGTTCTGATCAAGTTTTTTCATCTGTCACACCAGGAAATGCACATCATACGGTGAGCCAGTTGATTTTAATTATTTTTTATGCTAGTCCATTCCATTGATTGTCCACAAATGCCTGTAATGAAGCAACACCTATTGCAGTATACCATTATCCTGCTAATTATCCATTCAAGTTCCTAATCATGATCCGAAACAATTATTAATAGTTGTACTATTGTACTACCCATACACTGTAGGTATGCATGGGGGGTTCCTCTTGGCCGCCAGGAGCAAGCTCCCAACGTTACACCCAAGCACCGCGGTGAGGTGGGGACCATCGCTTGGGGCCCTGTTGGGGGGGAGACAGAACACAAAAGGACACTGGATACTGCCCAGGGGCAGGTTAAAATTAATACCGTATGTGACTCTGTTTGGGAGGGGAGATAGAACACAAACGGATACTGGATACTGCCCAGGGCAGGTGAAAATTATTATGAGACCCTGTTTGGGGGGGAGAGAGAACACAAAAGGATAGGCAGGTGGAAATTAATATGTGACCCTGTTGGGGGGGGAGAGTGAACACAGAGCAAAGTGCAGTGAGGAGGGAGAGCTTTGAGAGTGAGTTTCGAGACGTCTCTCGAAACTCACAAGAGAGAACAGAACTGCCACCAGCAGTCCAAATCTGTTACGAATAGCAATGAATGAAGATTATAGTGCACTCCCGACCACAGCTAAAGAAGCATGCAGCATCGAGAACGAATGTGAAGAGTCAGAATTGACTCGAAACGTCAGACAGTTGAGATGCATCTGGACCGTCTGAGCAGATGGCATCGGGCAGCTGCAGGCAGAAGGATTCTGGCAGGAACAGTTTCGTAACTGTACGCACCGCACGGTTGGGAATGCATTTGAATAAGGGAATGTACCCCTTAGAGTACATGGTTAGCTAGGTCGATTTGTATTCCTCTGTACTCTTATTTGTATCGTTGTAGTTGCATGTTTTTATTATCTCAAGCATTTTACATTCACTCTGCTATTGAGGTCAAGGGCCCACCACCACTAGACCAGAAGTGTGCGAACCTTCGTGAGGTGATCCTGGTTACGATCTATTTCTGATCGCAGCAAAATCTAATAAAGCCATCGCAGCGCGACGTTCGAATTTACTAAAGCCGTCGCAGGGAAGTCTCAAAGTGATTGATCACTATCAAGATTGAAACAGGGGAGTACGGATTGATCACTATCAGGTTCCATTTACTAATATATTTAGCTGTCTATGTGGCTCTGCTAATGTACCTTTTGTCTCTGGTTCTGTCTCTGTGCTTCTGTCTGGTTCTTTTCAAGTGGTTCTAACTGTCAGACAAGCAAATACACATCATCTGGTGCATCAATTGACTACATATATAACATGCTAGCTAGTCCATTGGATTAATTGTCTACATATGCCTGAAGCTACAACTACTGCAGTATTAGTTTCAAATTCTAGTAATTATCCATTCAAAGTTCCTAATGATGATCCAATATAAATATTAATTGAATGTACTATTGTACTACCCATACACTGTAGGTGTGCATGGGGGGTTCCTCTTGGCCGCCAGGAGCAAGCTCCCAACGTTACACCCAAGCACCGCGGTGAGGTGGGAACCATCGCTTGGGACCCTGTTGGGGGGGGAGACAGAACACACAAGGAAACTGGATACTGCCCAGGGGCAGGTGAAAATTAATATGTGACTGTTGGGGGGGGAGACAGAACACAAACGGATACTGGATAGTGCCCAGGGGCAGGTGAAAATTATTTTGAGACCCTGTTGGGGGGGGAGACAGAACACAAAAGGATAGGCAGGTGGAAATTAATATGTGACCCTGTTGGGGGGGAGACAGAACACAAAAGGATAGGCAGGTGGAAATTAATATGTGACCCTGTTGGGGGGGGAGACAGAACACAAAAGGATAGGCAGGTAAAAAATAATATGTGACCCTGTTGGGGGGGGAGAGAGAACACAGAGCAAACTGCAGTGAGGAGAGAGAGTTTTGAGTTGAGAGTGAGTTTCGAGACGTCTCTCGAAACTCACAAGAGAGAACAGAACTGCCACCGGCAGTTCACAACTGGATTTGAGGCGCCTCAAACCAGCAAACGAGGTCCTACTCTGCTTCCCTGCAACCTGTGTTCCCTGCAACCTGCTTCACCCCCTGTTCTGCTTCGCTGCAACCTGTGTTCCCTGCAACCTGCTTCACCCCCTGTTCTGCTTCGCTGCAACCTGTGTTCCCTGCAACCTGCTTCACCCCCTGTTCTGCTTCGCTGCAACCTGTGTTCCCTGTAACCTGCTTCACCCCCTGTTCTGCTTCGCTGCAACCTGTGTTCCCTGCAACCTGCTTCACCCCCTGTTCTGCTTCGCTGCAACCTGTGTTCCCTGCAACCTGCTTCACCCCCTGTTCTGCTTCGCTGCAACCTGTGTTCCCTGCAACCTGCTTCACCCCCTGTTCTGCTTCGCTGCAACCTGTGTTCCCTGCAACCTGCTTCACCCCCTGCTCTGCTTCGCTGCAACCTGTGCTCCCTGCAACCTGCTTCACCCCCTGTTCTGCTTCGCTGCAACCTGTGTTCCCTGCAATCTGCTTCACCCCCTGTTCTGCTTCGCTGCAACCTGTGTTCCCTGCAATCTGCTTCACCCCCTGTTCTTCTTCCCTGCAACCTGTGTTCCCTGCAACCTGCTTCACCCCCTGTTCTGCTTCGCTGCAACCTGTGTTCCCTGCAATCTGCTTCACCCCCTACTCTGCTTCGCTGCAACCTGTGTTCCCTGCAATCTGCTTCACCCCCTACTCTGCTTCGCTGCAACCTGTGTTCCCTGCAATCTGCTTCACCAGCAAACGAGGTCCTCTGGAGTAGCACACGGGGAGGGTGGCCAGTCGTCTTTACTGCTTCTCTTCTGCTGACACCGCTGGTGCCACTGCTTATATTCCCTTCTGCTGCCTCTGCGGGCCTCTCTTCTGCTCCCACTGCTGCTGCCACTGCTGCTGCCACCGCTGGTGCCACTGCTGGCCTTCTCTGGTGCTCGCCGTCCAGAAGCACCAGAAGCAGCACGCGGGAGGGAGGTAGGAGTGAGCCAGGTAGGCGCGAGGGAGGTAGCAGCTTCTTCATCCCCTTCACAGCAGCTTCATCCCCTTCACAGCTGCTTCATCCCCTTCACAGCTGCTTCATCCCCTTCACAGCTGCTTTATCCCCTTCACAGCTGCTTTATCCCCTTCACAGCTGCTTCATCCCTTTCACAGCTGCTTCATCTCCTTCACAGCAGCTTCATCCCCTTCACAGCAGCTTCATCCCCTTCACAGCAGCTTCATCCCCTTCACAGCTGCTTCATCCCCTTCACAGCTGCTTCATCCCCTTCACAGCTGCTTTATCCCCTTCACAGCTGCTTTATCCCCTTCACAGCTGCTTCATCCCCTTCACAGCTGCTTCATCTCCTTCACAGCAGCTTCATCCCCTTCACAGCAGCTTCATCCCCTTCACAGCAGCTTCATCCCCTTCACAGCTGCTTCATCCCCAGCTTCATCCCCTTCACAGCTGCTTCATCCCCTTCACAGCTGCCTCATCCCCTTCACAGCTGCTTTATCCCCTTCACAGCTGCTTCATCCCCTTCACAGCAGCTTCATCCCCTTCACAGCTGCTTCATCCCCTTCACAGCTGCTTTATCCCCTTCACAGCTGCTTTATCCCCTTCACAGCTGCTTCATCCCCTTCACAGCTGCTTCATCCCCTTCACAGCAGCTTCATCCCCTTCACAGCTGCTTCATCCCCTTCACAGCTGCTTCATCCCCTTCACAGCTGCTTCATCCCCTGCTTCATCCCCTTCACAGCAGCTTCATCCCCTTCACAGCTGCTTCATCCCCTGCTTCATCCCCTTCACAGCTGCTTCATCCCCTTCACAGCTGCTTTATCCCCTTCACAGCTGCTTTATCCCCTTCACAGCTGCTTCATCCCCTTCACAGCTGCTTCATCCCCTTCACAGCAGCTTCATCCCCTTCACAGCTGCTTCATCCCCTTCACAGCTGCTTCATCCCCTTCACAGCTGCTTCATCCCCTTCACAGCTGCTTCATCCCCTTCACAGCTGCTTCATCCCCTTCACAGCTGCTTCATCCCCTTCACAGCTGCTTCATTCCCTTCACAGCTGCTTCATCCCCTGCTTCATCCCCTTCACAGCAGCTTCATCCCCTTCACAGCTGCTTCATCCCCTTCACAGCTGCTTCATCCCCTTCACAGCTGCTTCATCCCCTTCACAGCTGCCTCATCCCCTTCACAGCTGCTTCATGCCCTTCACAGCTGCTTCATCCCCGTCACAGCTGCTTCATCCCCTTCACAGCTGCTTCATCCCCTGCACAGCTCCTTGGCAGAAAAAGCTAGCTAAAGGAAGGTACAGCTCGCTGGCCCGCTCATGGCATTCCACCCGTCCCCTCTGCTCGCCTGTACCACCCGTCTCCTCTGCTCGCCTGTACCACCCGTCTCCACTGCTAATCCGTCTCGTCTGCTGCTCCCTCGCCTCTGCGTCCTTCTGTGGAATGGGAGGAGAATAAATCAGGGCAGATGAGTGCAAGGCACTGACCGCACCCAATGCCTTGAAAGAAAGAACTCAGAGCAAATGCAAAAGCAAGGCAACGACATTCAAACAAACAAAACAACTCAAGTGAAAAAGAGAATCACCATCGGCAGTCAATAGTTATCCACCACCGTGCTCCTTTGCTCTTTGCTCTTCAATGCAGCACCACTCCCTCTCCAGTGCAGCACCACTCCCCCTCCACTGCTGCTGCCACTGCTGGTGTCACTGCTGGTGTCACTGCTGGTGTCACTGCTGGCCTTCTCTTTCTGCTTGCACTGTTGCTGCCACCGGTAGTGTCACCGCATGCCTCTCCCCTACTCCCAATGCTGGTGTCACTGCAACTGCCACCTCCAATGCAGACGCAGCAGCACCACCTCGCAACGCAGCAGCAGCACCAATCCCCTTCCAGCAGCAGCGCCACTCCACCACTTCACAGCACCAGCAGCAGCACATGCGAGGGAGGTAGGACCGAGGCAGCACAAGGCAGTTAAAGGTAGGTAGAGCTTGCACCTTGCTGCTGCCAACTCTCGTCCCTTCTCTGCTCCTCTGCTCTATTCACCTACTCATCACCTCTCCGGCAGTGGCCTTCTCTTCTGCACACGGGAGGGAGGCAGCATCATTTTCTCCCTCTGCTGCTCCTCTGCTCCTCTGCAGTAGCACACGGGAAGGGTGGCCTTCTCTTCTGCTGACACTGCTGCTGCCACTGCTGCTACCACTGCTTGCATTCCCTTCTGCTGCCTTGGCAGCTGAAACCAGTATGTCACTGCGGGCCTCTCTTCTGCTCGCTGTCCCATCACTTCACAGCACCTTCAGCAGCACGTGGGAGGGAGGTAGGAGCGAGGGAGGTAGCAGCTGCCATCCCATCACTTCACAGCACCAGCAGCAGCACGCGGGAGGGAGGTAGGAGCGAGGAAGGTAGCAGCTGCCGTCCCATCACTTCACAGCACCAGCAGAAGCACGCGGGAGGGAGGCAGTAACAACTCGCAGCTTGCTCCTCCGTGATTGTATGCCTTCTCCCCTCTGTGCCTTCTCCCCTCAGCGTTGGGGGGAAGCGCAGCTGTGTGGTTCTCTGCTCCGCTGCTCCTTTGGCCTTCTTCCCTCCATGCCTTCTCTCCTCCGTGCCCTCAGCTCCATGTCTATCCAATGCTGCATCTTTGTTCCTCTTCTCCATCTCCTTTGCCTCTCTTTCCTCTCCTCCGCTGCTCCTCGCCTCCTCTCCTCCTCGCCTCCTCGCCTCCGTCTCCTCCGATGCATCTCCTGCGGAATGGGAAGGAAGGGAAGGAAGGACCAAGAAATCGAAGGCAGGAAAGAAGATGACCGGCAATTCTCACAGTGGCAATTCTCAATTTTCATACAAGCAATGCAACGTTACCCAAGAGAATTGCACAGATTGGGCAACAAAAATGCAGAACAAAAAAAGTACAGAGGGGCTCACCATTAGTTTCCATTCACTACCACGCTCTGCTGCTCCTCTCCTCCTCTGCGCCCCTGCTCCACGCCTCCTCTCCTCCACGCCCCCTCTCCTCTACGCCTCCTCTCCTCCACGCCCCCTCTCCTCCGCGCCTCCTCTCCTCAACGCCCCCTCTCCTCCGCGCCTCTGAAACGGAAAGCAACAACGACATTAGTACATGTGGAAAACAGAAAGCAGAAACTTGGAGAGCACTTACCGAGGGGGCTGGAGGCGTCGTGAAGTCTCGCGGCTGTCTGAAACGGGAAGCAACAACGACATTAGTACATGTGGAAAACAGAAAGCAGAGATGGAAGATAGCTCACCGAGGGGGATGGAGCGTTGTTGATGTCTTGGTGACGGTTAAGACAAGACACACACATAACAACATTAGGCATGCGACGACACAAGGAAGCAAAGAAGACAGCAGCTTACAACGGGTCCTAGCTGCTGCGTCCCCGTGTTGCTCCCGCCTTGGTGTTGCCTCCCCCGTTCTTGCTGTACCTAGACGAGGGGCGGCACAAATTTAATCCTAAGCTGCTGCATCCCCGTGTTGCTCCCGCCTTGGTGTTCCCCCTTGATGCTTGCTGTACCTAGAAGAGGGGCGGCAATGAAAATATATTTTGAAGGCGCCTCACTTGAAGGCGCCGCTCCACCTCCCGCTGCTCCTCTTGTGTTGATCCTTTGCCCCCCAGGGGGTCAAAGCGCCTCACTTGAAGGCGCCGCTCCGCCTCTCGCTGCTCCTCTTGTGTTGATCCTTTGCCCCCCAGGGGGTCAAAGCGCCTCACTTGAAGGCGCCGCTCCACCTCCCGCTGCTCCTCGTGTGTTGATCCTTTGCCCCTCAGGGGGCAAAGCGCCTCACTTGAAGCTCCACCTCCTCAAATCCACTGCTGCCCGTCCTTGCTGCCGCGGTCTTCTGCCCAGTCTTGCTTCACGACCAGCTGTGCAATTTTGCTCACTGCAACACTTGCAGTGAGGAACATGCAAAAGAGTTTTGAAACATGTTTTTTATCACTTCAGGTAAGCTGCAGTGAGAAGGAAGAGAGAGAAATAGTGAGTGAGTTTCGAGATGTCTCTTGAAACTCACTCAGAAAAGAGAAGAGAGGAGGAACGGAACACTGCAGTGCACTGCAGGACACAACAAAACTGGATTTGAGGCGCCTCAAACCAGCAAACGAGGTCCTCACACCTCACATTCACTCTGACTCACTCTCACTCTCACCCTCACTCTCACTCTCACCCTCGCTCTCCCCTCATTCTCCTCTCACTCTGCTCTCTTCTCACTCTCCTCTCACTCTCGCTCTCCGCACGTCCCCCTCTATGCTCCTCCCAGCAGGTCCCAGCCGTCTCCTTCCGCTGATGCTGCTGCTACTGCTGCTCCCCGCTGCTGCTGCTGCCACCGCTGCTGCTGCAGCCACCGCTGCTGCTACAGCCACCGCTGCTGCTGCAGCCACCGCTGCTGCTGCTGCCACCGCGGCTGCTGCTGCCACCGCTGGTGTCACTGCAGGCATCTCTTCTGCTCCCACCGCTGCTGCCACCGCTGGTGTCACTGCTGGTCTTCTCTTCTGCTGCCAGCCACTGCTGCTGTCAGCTGTAGTGTCATTGCGGACCTCTCTCCTTCTCCCACCGCTGCTGCCACCGCTGGTGTCACTGCTGATCTTCTCTTCTGCTGCCAGCCACTGCTGCTGTCAGCTGTAGTGTCATTGCGGACCTCTCTCCTTCTCCCACCGCTGCTTCCACCGCTGGTGTCACTGCTGGTCTTCTCTTCTGCTGCCAACCACTGCTGCTGTCAGCTGTACTGACATTGCGAACCTCTCTCCTTCTCCCACCGCTGCTGCCACCGCTGGTGTCACTGCTGGTCTTTTCTTCTGCTGCCAACCACTGCTGCTGTCAGCTGTACTGTCATTGCGAACCTCTCTCCTTCTTCCACCGCTGCTGCCACCGCTGGTGTCGCTGCTGCGCTAACAAAGTAGAAGCTCGCAGCTTGATCGTCATCCCATCACTTCACAGCACGCGGGAGGTAGAAGCTCGCAGCTTGCTCCTGCTCACTTCTCCCCTCCGTGCCTTCTCTCCTCCATGCAGCCAGCAGCATTGAGGGGAAGCGCAGCTATGCTGTTCTCTGCCCCTCTGCTCCTCTGCTCCTCTTCTCCGCTGTTCCACTCCGCTGCTCTCCTCCCCTCCACCAACTCCTTTGCTCCTCTCCTCCCTTCACTGCTGCCACTGCTTTTCTCTCCTCATGCTGCCACTGCCACAGCTGCCGATGCTTCGCTTGTCGCTGCCGATGCTTCTCTTTTCGCTGCTGCTCCACGCTTAAACGTTCCATGTCCCTGCACAACGATGAGAGAGTTGCAATCCCACAAGGAAGGTCAATCAGAGTGGAGGAAAGGAGTCGACAGAAGAGGAATGCAAGCAGGAAAAAACGACAGGAGAAAACGGCGAAGAACACGAAAGCCATGAAACGAAGGTAGAGGAAACACGAATGAGGAGGGAGAAGGGTGGGGGAGGAGAATGCTCTGCTTGCTTACTTGCTGCCCCAGTTGCTCCTGCCCCAGTTGCTCCTGCTCCAGTTGCCTCCAACGCAGCTGCACCTCTCCGCCTCCAACGCTGCTGCTCCGTCTTTCCACCCACTCCTTAACTTTCCCTGCTCTGCAACCAGAGAGTTGCAAAATGCCACAGGGGAGGTTAATCAGAGTAGAAGTTACCATTTGAAAGAGAAAATTGGCAGAGTGAAGAGGAACGAATGCAAGGAGGAAAAAAGACAGCAAAAGAATAAGAAAGAACACGAAAGCCATAATAACAACTAAGGCAGAGGAAAACGCGAATGCGGAGGGAGAGGGGATGGGGGAGAGAAGAAAGGAACGGAGGTGTTCTGTCATGACTCCAATTCCTTACTTGTTTCTCCAGTCAATGCTGCTCCAGTCGTTGCTGCTCCAGTTGACTCGCGAGCCACTGCAACTGCTGCCGCTTTCCTCCTGCTGCCACTGCGACCTCTGCCGATGCTTCTCCCGTCGCTGCTGCCTCTGCCACTCTACTCCTGCAGATGATGCTGCTTCTGTCTCTGCTGCTCCGTCATTTCCACCCATGCCTTAATGTTGCCTGTACAGCGACCAGAGACTCACAATTCCACAAGGTTCATAAGAGTCCAGGTAATTACAGAGTAAATTGACAGAGTGTAAAGTAACAAATGCATAGAGGAGAAAACGCAACGGAAAAAAAAGATTAGGAACACGAAAGCCATCAAAACAATGAAGGCAGAGGAACGCGAACGAGGAGGGAGAAGGGAGGGGGGAGAGAAGAAAGGAACGGGGGTGTTAGCTCACGGCTCCATTTACTTATTGCTGCTCCAGTCGCTTCCGCTCCTGTTGCTGCTGAAGCTCCAGTAGCTGCTGCTCCAGTTGCTGTGGCAGTCACACCATGATGCAGCACCACCACTTCAATGCGGCAGTCACACCATGAACTGCCATAGCGCTATGGACTGCCATAGCGCCATGGACTGCCATAGCGCCATGGACTGCCATAGCGCCAAGGAC